CACGAGTTTAATATAATCACGTGAAAATTTGACATTGAGGCAGATCCAGCTTGTTTCCTTGGGGTTTTGTAACCCATAATGATTCTTGGATTAATCACTTTGAGCCAGAGACAAATAAATAATATATGCAGTGAAAACGCCCCGCCCCGCCTCGCCTTCTCCAAAAAGACCCAAATTATTTCATCCGCTGGGAAAGTAGTGGCCTCTGTTTTTGGGGGTGCAAAGGGTGTTTATTGAATACCTTCAAAAGATCACACCATCAACGAAGAGCACTATGACTACTTACTAAACACAGGAAAAGCTATCAATACTATACGCTTAGAAAACCTGACTAAAGGGGTTCTGTTTCTTCAGAACAAAGCTCCACAAAACAAGTCCTTGATTTTAATGCCTGGTGTGCTTGACTGGTTGATCATCTGACATATAGGGCTAATGGGATTATCATCTGTTCCCCAACATTACAAATCACTAGTTTGGGGCCCAGTATCGTATTGATAAAGGTGTTATATCTGTTGTTATGATTTTACAGAATGCAGTCTTCTTTGAACAGTGTTATAGTGGAACACACCTATTTTATAGTTAATAGACTCTCCTACCTATAATAAGTAAGAGTAATGAGGCGGTCAGTCAGTCGATGTCGGACGACCGGCTGAGCGGTTGAACTCTGCCTTCGGGCAGGGCGGAACCCGAACGAGGCTATGCCGAAGGGCAGAGTCTCGTTCGGGGAGGTAAACCGACCGTGAACCCGTTTATACGCGTTCAAAGGGTATATTTTTAGCCGAGCCCACAGGCTCGGAGATTCCACGTTAAACCGCCCTTGTGCCACATGATACCCTCGTGGCGGGGAGATGACTAAATACTAGTCGATGCCGGACGACTGTTAGTCGAATACTAAAGTATCAGCGCCCACAACTAGATAACCCTGCGTCATACCTATTATATCAAGTTTCTAACGTTTTGTACGTCGAACCTAATTTAGGACCGACTTAGTACAAATACAAGCCTCCACTGTGAAATCACTCCACAACAAACAGCCAGATAAAAGAAGCAGTTATTAATCAGAAGAATTGAAATTAATGCATGCAGGATTTCACAACACTGGCATCATTTCTTCACAGCCCATGAACATTTCATCCTACCTTCATACCTGTAAAAAAAAAAATGTTATTAACCAGAAGAGTTGAAATTTAATGCAGGCACGTTTTCATAGTACTAGCTTCATATCTTCATAGTCAGCCTATGAACTTTTCCGACCACGCTCGTATCTGTAAAGATCAAATTGAGTTATTAAACAGAAGAGTTGAAATTTAATGCATGGAAGTTTTCATAATACTGGCGTCAATATTTCATAGTCAGCCCAAAACAAAAATTCACAACTCTACACTTTATAGTCAGTCTGTGAACTTTCCAGTCCAGCTTTTTAACTTAAGGAAAAACATGATCTCGGCGTATATATGTTGGTCATGAGAAAGCAGATGCTGTTTCCTTTTGGTAAAGTCGATATTACAAGTTTATCGTTCCAATCGATTTATAAATAATACTATAAATTTATTACAAGCTTTTATTTTGTTTTATTTTATTTATATTCGCTCTGACGGTTCCATTAAACTTTGAGCTTAGAGGTTTTGGAGTGTAGAAAAGGCCAGCTATAAATTATCGGTGTAATATTAAAAATAAATGTGCTTTAAATCTCTCAAGATCGAATAAATGACAGCAATTTGTTTCTTCAGACTTCAATATAGCAAGTTTTATGTAAATTCCTACTGCAGGATTGTTTATGCTGATAATTGATCTGACTTATGCTAATAATATATTTTATATAGAATCGTGCCCTCAAGAGCCACTCAAGGTAGAGCATTACTAAATGAGCTTGTTATAGGGGCGTAAATAGTGGGAAAAGAGCATATTATAAGCAAAAACTTAAGATAAATAACAGTTCACTCAAGAATTTATGGCCGTTCTGTTCGTTGAAACATCTATTCGGTGTCCTGTTCTACAAAGTTCAAGTCAATGGCATACCATGATGATGATAATAAGAGGGCCGTGTGTATTTGAGGAGGCACGGTTGAGTAATGGGTAGCGGATTGGATTGAGGAATCGGAGAGCCGAGTTAGAATTCCAGTCGAATCTATTACATTCACTTACGTGCTAACACCCTTGGGAAAGGTGTGAATCCTCTCTCTTCTCCCTCCAGCTATGGGTAAATAGCAGGACAGACTGGGTTCTATAGCCTTGGATGGCAACTGGTCTAGGAGAAGGAAAACTCTGAATTCAAACCTGCTCTTAGAGGAGGGTGAATGGAGTCTCTCTGAGCCTTGGTTGGCAATCCATTTAGTGATGGTGTCACGATAAAAACACCCTTGATAGCCCTAGCGAAGCATCAAGAATTCAGCTTTTTGACAAGATTATGATCTACACCAATCAAAGTATTGGTGAGTTCAACCTCGGCTGAGGCCGCAAGTGAGTGAGTACGTGGTATGCCAGGTCCTAGCCTTCATGGTTTCAACTGATGGAATTAAGGAATGCAACAACATTTAACTTGAAAAGTAGAGTAGAGAGAGAAGGCTAACAATGACCCGTCTCTGGAAAAGACGTTGTTGTAGGGTGGAAAATATTTCCTTTTTATTCCTAGAGCAATGACACATTAAAGATTTTGTTGAGTTTTTTCTTGAATTCCTTTCTTTATCAGACCCAAAGCGCCAACCACATTAGGGACGTTTTTAGGTTTTGAAACATATCACATGTTTTGTATTTGATTATCTAAAGCTCTTTGTATTTGAAAATCTCCAGGTCTACTTCTATCAAAAATCTTTGCAGAGATGTGGTTGTTGTTGTTATTATTATTATTGTTGTTATTATTATTATTATTGTTATTATTATTGTTGTTTTATCATTATTATTATTGTTGTTGTTGTTATTATTATTTTTGTTTTTGTTGTTATTATTATTATCGTTGTTATTATTATTGTTGGTGCTGTTATTATTGTTATTATTATTATTGTTGTTATTGTCATTATTGTTGGTGTTGTTGTTATTGTTATTATTATTGTTATTATTATTATTATTGTTGTTGTTATTATTATTGTTGTTGTTTTTATTATTATAATTGTTTTTGTTATTATTATTGTTGTTGTTGTTGTTGTTATTGTGATCATTAATATTATTGTTGTTGTTGTTATTATTATTATCGTTGTTATTATTATTGGTGGCGTTGTTATTAATGTTATTATTATCATTTTTGTTATTGTTATCATTGTTGGTGTTGTTATTGTTATTATTATTATTGTTATTATTGTTCTTATTGTTATTATTATTGTTGTTCTTATTATTATTATTATTGTTCTTATTATTATTATTATTATTGTTCTTGTTATTACTATTATTATTGTTGTTGGTATTATTATTATTATTATTGTTATTATTATTATTGTTGGTGTTGTTGTTATTGTTATTATTATTAGTTATTGTTATTATTCTTGTTGTTATTATTGATGTTGTTTTTATTATTATAATTGTTCTTGTTATTATTATTATTGTTTTTGTTATTACTATTATTGTTGCTGGTGGTGTTATTATTATTATTGTTGTTGTTGTTGCTATTATTATTATTATTATTATTATTTACACGCTACTTATAGACTTTATAGTCACTTCTAGATTCCTTCTCCTGTGGTGAGAGATAATTTGTGAATTTAAATTTTATGCATTGATACGAAAACTTATGATCAAAAATATATATATTTCACTCTATGTGATGGTATACTGAAGTGTGTATAAAATATTTATTGATTCGTTTTCTACGGCTTATTTAATTTTCCAGGTTATTTAAAGCCAGAAAATACTTTTATCTGGTGCGAATATTTTTTGCGAATAATAATGATTTAGTGATATAAATATTACTAATTAACCCATAGCTTGTGGGAGAAAGCTGAAGTCATAAGTTTCCCAAGCGCATTTACGCCTAAGTGAATAAAACCAACCCAACCGGAATTGAAACACGAATCTCCGATTAACAATTCGGAGCCATTCTCCATTACACCGGCTGCACATCCAAGCTTACGCCACCTGGTATTTACCTGCGGTCATCCATGCTTGATGTTGCTTAACTTCGGTGATAGGACAAGAACCGGTGTTTCAACATCATATAGCCGTGAATGCAATATAAGAGCCGCACATCCAAGCTTACAGTTACTGACTAGGCTCGACGTTGCTTAACTTCGTTGATCGGACAAGAACCGGTGTTTCAACGCCATATGGCTGCAAACGCAATATAACAGGCTCACATCCAAGCTTAGAGCATCTAGTATTACCAAGTGGGCACCCATCTAGGTACTGTCTAGGCTCGACGTTGCTTAACTTCGGTGATCGGACAAGAACCGGTGTTTCAACGCCATATGGCTGTAAACGCAATATAACAGCCTCACATCCAAGCTTAGAGCATCTAGTATTACCAAGTGGGCACCCATCTAGGTACTATCTAGGCTCGACGTTGCTTAACTTCGGTGATCGTACAAGAACCGGTGTTTCAACGCCATATGGCTGTAAACGCAATATAACAGCCTCACATCCAAGCTTAGAGCATCTAGTATTACCAAGTGGGCACCCATCTAGGTACTATCTAGGCTCGACGTTGCTTAACTTCGGTGATCGGACAAGAACCGGTGTTTCAACGCCATATGGCTGTAAACGCAATATAACAGCCTCACATCCAAGCTTAGAGCATCTAGTATTACCAAGTGGGCACACATCTAGGTACTGTCTAGGCTCGACGTTGCTTAACTTCGGTGATCGAACAAGAACCGGTGTTTCAACATCATATGGCTGTAAACGCAATATAACAGCCTCACATCCAAGCTTAGAGCATCTAGTATTACCAAGTGGGCACCCATCTAGGTACTGTCTAGGCTCGACGATGCTTAACTTCGGTGATCGGACAAGAACCGGTGTTTCAACGCCATATGGCTGTAAACGCAATATAACTGCCTCACATCCAAGCTTAGAGCATCTAGTATTACCAAGTGGGCACCCATCTAGGTACTGTCTAGGCTCGACGTTGCTTAACTTCGGTGATCGGACAAGAACCGGTGTTTCAACATCATATGGCTGTAAACGCAATATAACGGCCGCACATCCAAGCTTAGACCATCTAGTATTGCCAAACCGGAATTGGAACCTGACTCTCTCATTAACAGAGCCATTATCTATTACACCACCCGCACATGCAAGCTTACAGCACCTGGTATTCCCAAGCGGTCAACCATCTAGGTACTAATAGGTCGCGATGTTTCTTATCTTCGTTGATCATACATTCTTCAGTTTCGACTAATTATAATTCCAACAGTGTGAAATGACGAGGATGTAGCGAAGAAAATAGTCTCTATCTCAATGGCACTCAGAGTTCTTAAGGACATATAGACTCTTCGGAAGTTTAAATACATGGGAATGTTGAAACAAAGCACAGAATGTGTGAAACTGAAATCCAAATGCGCATTGGGATAGCGATTGGTGCCTTCCAAAATCTTGGCAAGGTATTAAGAAACAGGACAGTTTCTTTATAAATAAAGAGGACTGAAGTTTACGTAATTTTATTCTTTCGATATGATGGACAATATCCTGACAGCTGAAGTGGAGGCTGGAGGCAACAGAAATGCAGTTCGACAGAAAGACTAAACGAATACTATTGACTGAACATGTGAGCAACAACGATGTTTTAGAGAAAATGGGATCAAGAAGGACATTCTACGAAACATCAGTAAGACCAGTTGAAATTTAAAGGGCAAATAATGAGGAAAGAGGGCTTGGAAAATTTGACACTCACAGAACAGACTATAGGGACTAAGTAAAAAAGCGCATAACGAGCTTCAGTAAATGGATGGAGGCGGTATTTCCTTAACTCCCACGGGGTCAAGATGTGACACAAGGTCGTTTTTCGTGGGAAACCCGAGCGTTTCCGCATAGGGTCACTGGTCAAAGATTGGTTATAACATCTCCAAACTTGTCAAAGCTTAGTCAATGTTTTGGTCATAACATGTCCAAGCTAGTCAAGATTTAGTCCAAGTTTTGGTCATGACATGTCCAAGCTGGTCAAAGCTTAGTCAAGTTTTGGTCCAAGTTGGTCTTGGCTTGTCTTAGCAGGTCTTGATATGGTCCAAACTAGACTTTGCCATGGTCGCAACCCAACCCGAAGGCCGGGTAAATGGATGGAGGCTCAACGTTTAGGAGAGATAACAAAAAAAGCAAAATTTATAAAGAGCCACAAAGGACAGATCATTGTTGAGAACAATGTCCGCCAACGTCCTGAAGAGACTCGTCACATAGAATAAGATGCTAGGGTATTGGATAGACAGTGTATAGCTTGTATATCCCCAAAATGTTATATCTATTTCGCGAAGGATTTCATGGGTCAGTGACTTAGGTGATTGATTTACTTGCCAAATTCCAGTGAGCTTTTATTCGGGTGAATTAATATCCTGTGCTTGGTTTCTCTGTGACATGATAAACACAGAAGGTGACACCATTTATCACTTGATCTATAAAGATTGGCAAGACTTGTCTTTCGAATATACGCCATCATAATTACCAATTCAATAATCAATAGAGAAAAGATCCCAGGCTATTACTTTCAATGTCAAATCTACCGGTAAATGGGCCTAGGTTTTATAGAAAATGAACAGGGATTTCTTCTGTAAATATTAATTAATATATTCTTACGAAAATATGAGGAATAAAAATGGAAATATATACAAGATCCGTACAGAAAAAATCAAGAAGTGTCCCCCCACCAATTTTTTTAGTTTATTTTTGTAACTGTAAGAATTGTTAAGCACCCAGTTAATCACACACACACACACACACACACACACACATATATATATATATATATATATATATATATATATATATATATATATATATATATATATATATATATTGATAACATTAGTGGTTAATATACACATACATATGCAATCATATATCTAAAATATATAAATATATATACATACATACATACATACACATACATATATATATATATGTATAAAAAATAATTCCAAGAGGATAGAATCCAGGTAGAACTCAATGTCCAAGACAGAGTAAGGATATAATTTGGAGGTCTGATGAATAAATTATGACTATGGAACATTAGTGTTTAAGCTTTTTTATTATATATATATATATATATATATATATATATATATATATATATATATATATGTTCTGTCCTGACATTGAGTTCTACCTGGATTCTATCATTTTGGAATTTATATATATATATATATATATATATATGTATAAATGTAAGTTATTAATATATATATGTTCATGAATATGAATATATACAACCCCATATATATATATATATATATATATATATATATATATATATATATATATATGCAGCATATCTTCACTCAAGCATATTTGGTTCAATAATCTAGACATATTATGTGGATTTATTTTGATTTTAATCGTATCAAATTCACGGATCAATATCCTAGTGTTGCTAAAAAACTGAGTACTTTCAATCAGATCTAACATCATTTTCAGTGGTGAATTCTAAGACCAAGGTTGATGTAATTGATAGTTATGAATTATTTTGTAAATGCTCATGAAACACGCCCCGTTATAGTCAATTTATATTAAGAATTGTAAGGGAGGTAACTACTGCCTATATTTTTTAAATATTCAACCTACATTTTATTCTGTTTATGTTTTAAAAATATTCAACCTACAGTTCTTTTAGTTTCTTTTATATTTTTTTACAATTTGAGCATCCTTAAACATTATTTTTATAGACATTTTAAAACATTGTTGCAATACTCATAATTATTTTTATTTAGCGTTCGTTTTTTTTATATATAGAGCGCTTCGAGAATTTTTTGGGTTTTTTTTTTTTTATTTTCATGGAGTATACTTGTATTGTTAATGTTGTGGACAGGAATGTTCTTTTAAATGTTATGTAATAGAACTTGAATTTGCCATGTGTAATGTATGCCTCCTTGATAATATTGTTGTTGTGAAACCAACATATATATCTAGCCTTTTGTCAGCGATACAATCTCCCAAAGGACATTTAAATTGATATACAATAATAATTGATAAGTTGACGGAGAAGAGTCATTGCGGGTGATTAACTTGGTTGTATTACATTTAGTATAGTATATAATTAGTTTTATTTTTTCCTTGGAACAATAGGAGATATATTTGGAATAACCAGGAATGCAGTTCTTTAGGGCATATGTGAATTCGTAAATAATATTGGTTCTCTGTAATTTGAAACTTGCAGGTGAATTATTATTTTTTGATGATGAGGTTAGCAGTTTTAATTTTTTATAGAAGATAATTTAATTTTCTTGTTTTGGTCGGCTGAAGTATATAGAACTTCTTTATAATGTTTGTAAGTGAAGATTCGTCTTAATTATATTTACCATGCATTCGATTTTTGTAGAAAATGCTAATGTTATTGGGTGTTTTCTGTATGTTCGGTGTTGCTATTGGCTACCTTAGAAAGAAAAACTCTAATATGGTTATCTATAAGTTGGTTTGGAAAACCGTTATTAACTAGCTTTAAAGAAAAGAGCACGTAATGATGAATTCTCGTGCGCCCTCATGTGGAAATTTTTGATAGCGCCAATTTTATAATTGAGATTTCATAAACTAGTAAAATTAAGTGCTATTTCTTGTGGGTTTTATATGACAAAGTAGGGAATGTATTGTTACAAGACTCCCCAAGAACATCCAAGAATAGGTAATATTTATGACGGAATTTTTTCCGAATGTAGTTTTGATATTATCAGCGTCCTCTTTGTTTTCAGTTAAAATAAAAATATCATCTAAATAGCGGACATATATTTTGGGTTTTTCAACTTTTTTAAATACCTTGTTTTCTATGTGGGACATGTAATAGAGAAACACGGCCCGAGAGGATTTCCCATTGTTACTCCATTAGTTTGAGTATAAATTTTGCGATTATGGTCGTAGAAGAGGACTTTAGTTATGCAAGCATGCAATAATTTTTTGAGAATATTAGGTTTGATGAATGAAGTGGAATAGAATTATTTTTATACAGATTTAAGGATTATATCGATGGTTTTACGACAGGGATATTTGTAAATTAATTTTCTACGTTAAGTAACGATAAAATGCTTTGGTTTGGATGTGTCGTTTTTGCAATTTAGTGAAATTCATGAGTTAATTTGATGCTATAATTAGTAGATAGATATGAAGTAATAATATCATTGAGAAATATTGAAAATTGGTAAGTAGGTATTGGATCTGTGAAATGATGTGTAGTAATGGATATCCGGTTTTATGTATTTAAAAATTTTCGTATAGGTATCCTGGTTGTTAATCTAATCTAGATTTTGTTGATTTTCAAGAAACCTATGTCAGGATTGTTTGATTTTATAAGTTTGTTAGCAGGTTTTTCTTAGAGTCTCCGGGGTGTTGTTATTTAATTTTATAAAATTAGATCAATCATCAATGAAAAGTAATTGTTTTATAATAATCCAATTTGTCCAAAATTACACATGTAGTAGCTTTATCGTTTCGTCTTCTAAAGATGTTGGAATTGTTTTTAAATTCTTTTGTGTAGTTTTTTGTTAGAATATTATTATATCTAAGAAAGGAATTGACGATGAAAATTATATATATATATATATATAATTATTTTTATTATAATTATGTTTTTAAATATATAATCATCGCAATACTGATTTCACATGTTTCAAAACTGAAACTTCAATTCAAATTCAATGATAAAAATTAAACTTAAAATATAAAGTTCCGTTCCATTATCAAGCGATGCTAAGAATAACTCTATTATTAAGTTGTTTTTAGCAACGCTTGAAAATGGAACGGATATATGTATTCTAAGTTTAATTTTTATGATTGAATTTGAAATGAAGTTTCAGTTTTGAAACATGAGAATTCTGGTGTTGCGACGATTATATATTAAAAAAATCTATTATAATATTATGCTCTACAGTTGTATCAAGCACTGTTTTTAAAATAAAAATAAATGCTAAGAACTCTGAATTATAAATGGCGTTGTTCTTTCCTATTATTTTATATATATATATATATATATATATATATATATATATA